AGGGAAAGATAACAAAAAACAAAAATAATAATTAGATGTGAGAGAAAAAAAAAAGGCGAACGCACGAGTCCCCTCCTTTTGATTTTGGATCTTGCAAAAATATTTTCGTAAAGAACAAAAACGTAATTAATATATTTATATTTAATTATTTCTAAGTTATTTTCTGCAACGGATGTGACCAATTGGACTTTATTGCGATCCCATGCAGACTTGCAGATGGGATGTTTTTTTTCATTTTTATTTTTTTTTAATTTTAAATAAAGTTTGTAAAAGAGAATGATATAATATGGGCAATCAACATATTTGTCAGAACTTCTGTTTATGTTCCTTATTTTTTTATTTTTATTACTCGTCTGCTAAAATAATAGTTTCTGTCCTTTTTTTAAAATATATGTAAAGAAAATAAATTGAACGACTATGATATGAAGTGGCTTGCTACTGAATGTTTGATTTGATTGATTTCTTTCTCAAAATTGTTATATTATGTGATGTATTGGATTTAGATATTTAAATAGTTATCAAGCTTAAAAAGTTGATTTTATGAAATTAAAATAATTAGGGTATTCCAAAATTTAGATGGGTAGGGTATAGAAATTTGAGTTAATAAAATTAAATGATATTTATCAAAATAACCCACGAAGGATAAAGTTTTCTAATTAAATTAATTAATTCAATTCATTTCTGTTGAAATTTGAGTTAATAAAATTAAACGTTATTTATCAAAATAACCGACGAAGGATAAAGTTTTCTAATAAAATAAATTAATTCAATTCATTTAACTATTGACATTCGATAATCTAAAAGAAATTATAATACTAAAAATGAATTGGAATAATAGTTATATATTGTGTTTTTTGTTAATCAGGATGGTTTATATATTATGTTTTTATTCGATTGTAAATAATTATTTTGATCGAGTGAATATTATTCTTTCATTTGTTTATATTTTCGCGTTGTATTTGATATATAATATTTTTAGTCACGATTTTGTACTATTATGTAAAGATTTCACACCATTTCACACGGTTTACATGAATTTAGTCATGAAATTCAACTTCATTTTTTTTAGACAATTGTATGTTGTGTGCGAAATTGTTGCTTGATTCTGTTTCTTGCTTGATTGTGATTAATTTATGTTATTCCCTGATGAATTTTTGTGATGTTTGGAGCAAGTTTATGAAATCATGAGTTTTTGTTTGGGTCCGTCGGACCAAGAACTTCAAAGAAAATTTATCGGACGAGAGGTTGAAGACAAAATTGGTTCGGACTAACAGATTCCAGTCCGTCGGACCAAACTTCATGACCAAAGACGACAGACTGAAGCTCGAACTGAGAAGAAATAGCTTGGTCTGGGGCTAACCAAAATTTGGTCCGTCTGACCAAACTTGAACGAACCAGGAATGACACCGTCGGACCAAACAGCGTACTAAAAAATGAGTTGGTACAGAGCTGTCCAAAATTGGTCCACCGGACCAACCTGAGAAAGGAAATAATTCGAAAGTCAGTTCGAACTAGAAGAAGAGTATGACAATCTGACAGACTTAATTCAGTCTGAGGCTGACCAATTCTAAAATTTTAAAATAAATAAAAAATTGATCTTATATACATAACTTAAATGGAGCTATATATATCGGTAAGTGTAATACTTCGAGACGAGCTGAGCTAGTAATCTGGATTGGTCAAAATCTGGTTTACTCGAATCGATGATTTAAAAGACTAGAAAAACATAAAAAAAGATGAGATGCATGACTCATGTATGGTAACTGATGTTGTATGACTACATATAATAACAGAATTGTAAACATAATGAATTAGTGAAATCACCATAAATTTAATGTTATGAAGAATGAGATCAACATATGACCACACTATATTTTGGGTCACATAGATCACATGGTCACACAGCTAGAGAGAAGGGTATGTATTGAAATAGAAATAACAAATTAAGGGTATTTTTGATATAATGACAACTTTTACGAGTATAGTCCATGATTCCGATCGATATATATACATAATGGTTTTTGGAATGTTGAAAGGGTACAAATGGTGGAGAGATTGGGTCATGCGGGTGGCCCAATATTTAGGTTTGTGGGCCCTCGTAAAGGATCATTGCAAGTTGAAGCTTTTACGCCGTCGTTTTCTCACCGTCCGATGAGGACTGACATCAGCCGTCCGATCACTTTCTCAAGCGTGAGTTGTTTTATCTTTTTTTTTTTTTATAAGCTAAAAAATATTTCATGTTTTTAATGATTTCTAAAAAAATCACGAAGTTTGGAAAATAATGTCAAAGCAAACCCTTGATTGCATTTTTCAAAATAGATTAAGATTGTAATCATACAAAAATAAAAAATTCAGGGTTTTACAAGATCAACAACTTATTCAAAATCAATTTTACGGAAGATTCTCTAATAAAAATAAATCGACATCACAAAACCAGCAACTTATAAAAAAAAATACTAAAAGAGAAAATAAAATATAAATTAAACGTAATTAACATAATAGAGAAAATTAACTTCACGTGTTCTGTATGAAGAGACAATATTTTTTTTTTACCGTTAATAGAATGTCGTATAGATTATCTATGATTGATTATTATAATGTGGACAATCTTTTCGTTATAACTAGAAATAACAGGTTAATATAATTAAATTTATTATCCACCCGAATTAAATTAAAACTCTACAGTAATTTATGTTTATAATATCATAGTCGTAGTGTATTTTTTTAAAATACAAATATAATATTTTGATTTATGAATTTGTTTTCTTGAAAAATTATAAAATTGGTAAAACCATACACGCTTATTTTCTGAAAATGACAAAGCTCTGCATTTACAGATTGTATACAGTCGATAATAACACAACGAAAAGGGTTCTTTAGTTGCCATATCTACGTTCAGTCTGATATAAATGGGCCCAAATTCGTTATGCCTTTTAATTTTCTCCATTAATTCTCATAAATATAATTGTAGTTATATTTGAATATAAAATCTTAAGCAGCTTAAAATGAAAAGATAAATATAAAAAAGCATATTAATACATGAATTTGTAAAAAAAAAACTCAGATATATACACGGATTTTTTTAACTTTACATTAAAATTTATATTTTTAAACAGTTCTCAAAAACCACCATTTCATGGTGGTATTACATTGGAATCTTTTAGTTTAATTTCATGACGAATTTTGAAAATCATTTAAAAATTTAAAATCTATTTTCATTATTTTCAAAAAGTTCGGAGTTTAATATAGAAGTTAGAAAGAATTTATATATTTATTTGGAAATTTTGAAATTCATATATTTATTTGGGATTTTTTTATAGGTTCATATATTAATATGGTATTTCTCCTAAATATAATAAAAATTCAATAAAACTATAAATAGACAAATTGTTTGATAATATAGCGTAGTTCTATACTTATCTTTAGTCTGAATAAATTGATGTAACAATCCTTTTGGAAAAAAATGATCACATCCCTTCCCTTGCTTGAATGTTTCACTAGGATGATGATGATGATGGTGATGATGGTGATGGTGATGGTGATGATGATGATGATGATGATGATGTCTATTGAGATGTCGCTATTGCATTGTTGTCAATGGCCTGATTTCTTCAGTTTGTAAGAGTTCGTACTCTTACTTACATTACATGTCATGTCCAAACCAACATGGGGCCTTTGATCTCATCATATATATGCTTCACTCTTCCGTTGATTTCAGAAGATGATTCATCTATATATATATATATATATATATATATATATATATATATATATATTATATTTCGTTTCCTTTCTGAATATGTATGTATGTATATATACACTCAAATACATATTTGTCTACTTCTCCATAATTGAACATCGTCTCATATCTGATGTAACAAACGGTAGATTTAGAAAATGCAATATGAAATTAACAATGATTTTATTGGAGATAAACACATGAAATTAACAATGATTTTCATTAAATAAACAAGGCTAATCTTAGTTATCTCATACACATTTTCCCAACATGACTTAGTATTTTCTAATATCGAGTCAATTCAATCTTTAAATCAAAGGATTTATAAATTAGAAATCCATAACTGGATTAAATAGACGATATAATATATATATATATATATATATATATGATGAAAAAAAAGGCTATTAATATTTTCAAGGTCGTGTGTTCGATTCCACTGATTGGTGGGGAGGGATGTAATTTCTGGATTAAAATAGTCCATATACAAAGACTGATCTTGGATCTAGGGTGAATGTAGTCGGGGCGAAGATCCGGAGAACCATCCTGGTTATAAAAAAAAAAAAAAAGCTATCAATGAAATGAAATTTGATAAGAGATGAAGATAAGATTTGGAATAAACGGAGGAGAATGGTTGATATTGACATATTTGGTTACTACCCGATGGAGGAAGCTGAGGAATATGCCAAGGATTTCGACCTTGATTTGAAAGGATGCAATTCCCAAACAAAATAATGACGACGTAGTATAACAATATATACACATACATACGTATACATACGTATATACGTATATATGTCCATTATATATGTCTGAATATTGTTAAGCTAATACAAATTGTTATAATTTGAAATAATAATTTTTGTCTTTTGAGGAGTCCATTATCAAAGACTCTTTCCAAGGACATCATCATATGTACAGACACACAAACGAACCTTACACCGACTGTTTGGTCTTCCCTTCAATTCATTGCCATTTCTTTCATCATATTCCTCACCCATGTCGTAGTTACAAACTCAGAACATAAAAGAAACAGAACACCCAGTCAAACCGAAATGACGAAACACCGAACTCTGCTATCGGATTTGGCCGAAAGAATTAGAACACGTCCGGGTGAAAACGGCCCGGGATTGAACTGTTCTGCTGTGCTTGTTTCAAATGAAGTGTCAGAGAATAGTTGTTAACCTGCAAATGGGAAAGGGTGTGTGCATTCCATTTATCAGAATCAAGAAGATTTTAAAATTTTGATACATTTAATCTCGTTTAATCGACGATGTGTTGAGATACAGACCTCAAGTGTTCTCAGCTGTTCTTGGTACTGAGTGATTAGCTGCTTCAAATGCTGTAACTCCTGGCTCTGATCTTCAAATTCTTTCTGCCGCTTCTGTTGCGTCACCACAGCACGCTTTAGGATCGCGTTTTCCTGGACAAGGGTTTCGATTTGTTGCCTTAGCATCATATTCTCCTGTAAAAACACAAGATCAGGTTCGACATCAAGCAAAACAATGTATTCCGAATCTTTTTCGACAATTTGGTATTTCATCAAAAGGAATAAACCCATCTCTGAAATTGAAGAAAAATGTTGGGGATCACACCTGTTGTAGACTTTGCATGGCTTCAGCACCAGCACGTGCACGGATAGATTTCTCGAAAACCTCTAACGCTCTCGCAGCTCGAGCTTTAGCATCGTTCATGTCGGAGGCATTCATCATTTCCTTAACAAAGAGCTCAACCCATTCAGCACCATCCAAGTTCAAGACATCTGGAGCTGCACATGCTTCTCCGTTAAACGGGACCTCCTCCTTAGCCAGTGCTGCGGTGAGAAGAAAACCCTCAATCTTAAATCAGAACTTATATATGGATAGGAGTGTAAAACAAACCGGTTGGCCACGGAAGGCAGTATAGAAGAACTAAAAACTAGAAATGTAAAAAGAGCTCAACCCGTTACCTAGTCTGTGAGCATTCCCTCAAAAAAGGATCAGAGAGCGAATTGTATAGCCCAAAAAAAGCTCTAATACTAGGAGACAGGTCACAAAATTTGAGTTTATATAGTTATACATTGAATGTAATACACAATCTAATATGATGAAAGATGCTTCAAACAAATGCCCTATAACCAAGATAATATAACGGCTAAGAACCAAAAGACAAAAGCTTGTTTGCTAGCTCGTATTTCTTCCTGAAGGTTTATCTCTTGCAACATGAAGCATGAGCTGTGATATCAACTTTTGCAAACAAGGAAACAGAATCTTCGACACTTATATACTTCTAATAGATATGCAAGTTCAGGGACAAAAGCATATATGAAATTTTCTGGCAAAGCAAGAGAGAAGACAGGAGAAGATGAGATTGATATAAACTGTTAGATGCAAACTATACAAAACAGGCTACCTTGCTCAGCTTCAACGCTTGCTTCATGGATGAGAGGCAATGGGTTGGTAGCAGAATCTGCATTATTGGTGGCAGATTCCAAACGAAGCTTATGCAAACACCTTATAGCTGAATCCAGATCATCACCGCATTCCTCAATCGCCCGCTCAATAAGCTAAAACATACAAAAAGATATGACCTTCAGATCGAAATTTTTTGAAAATTGACATCCAGTTACAATTTTCAATAAAACAATTCATGATTCTGATACGAAAGATTATAGCTGAAGAACATCCATTTCATCACACCCACAAACCCGTACGCACATATACAAGAACAGAATCGATTAAGATCAAACAAAAAACAGGTGATGTCCGCGATTCCTCAATTGCCCGCCCAATAAGCTATAACATACAAAAAGATATCACCTTCAGGTCGAAAAAATTTGAAAATTGACTTGACATCCAGTTACAATTTCAATTAGACAATGCATGATTCTAATACAACAGATTGTAGCTGAAGAACATCCATTTCATCATACCCACAAACCCATACGCACATATACACGAACAAAATCGATTAAGATCAAACGAAAAACAAGATGCAGAATCCGGAATCGCGATCATCACCTGCTAATATATAAAATACATATTACCTTTAGATGGAAAATTTGTCAAATTAACATCCAATCACAACACAACAAAACAAAATTCTACCTGAAGAATATCAATTTCATCACACCCACGAACCCAAATCGATCCATATGAACATATACACGAACACAATCGATTACGATAAACAAAGGCAGTGCAGAACCCGGAATCGAGCATCACCTGCTTATCCATATCGGGGAAGATCGCGGCGAGCTGATCGAGGAAGAGCGAAGAAGCCGGAGGACTCGGAGGCGAAAAACGAACCGGAGAAGACGACGAAGAGCAACGGATTTTCTTGGAGACGGGAGGTGAAGCGGTGGCCAAATCCTCGAACAGAGATCTCTTCCCGCAAACTATCGCAGACATGTTATCTGCTTCCCCCTCTCTTCTTCTTCCTTCAGCTCTTCTCCTTTCCTTTTTCTTCCCTTATTTTCCCTTGGATTCCCGGAACTTTCTTACGGGACGGATTTGGATTTCACAGATCTTCAGATCCAATGAACCCCTAAATCGAAGAAGAGGTTAGGGTTATAATTTTTTTCCGATATCCATAAAAAAAAAAAAATTATACAGTATTGAAAATCTAAAACCCTATTTTCATTAGTATTAAAATTAATTTAGGATCGGAAATTTAATTTAAGTAGAAAAAATGAGAATAGATTTTATAAAATTACCTTCTGACCTTAATTTTTTAACATATATTTATCTATCAAAATATTCTATCTATCAGAATATAGATCACATAATTTCTAATGACCCGACTATATGTGTATATATTATTCAAATAATATTTAGTATATCCAAAATTTATTTTGTTTTTACTAATTTGTTATGCTTATTTTAATTAAAATATTGATTTCCTTCGTTAAACAATAAAATATAATTTGCGGAAATCGACTACAAAAATCGAGATTTGTCTTCCACACATTAATTTAGACGAAGATGTAAATGTAATTTATAAACAATTGTAATGATTTCGAAATTCAACCAAACTATAGGGGTCTAAATGCAATAACCTTATGCTTTATGAGCTTCCCGATTTGTTCAGCAATCCAATCGAAGAGGGAAAGGTAAGGAATCATGAATCCAGCGGTGGGTGGGAACTCTACGACACCGTTTTGTTGAGTTCAACTTGGATGCCTCATGCTTTATATTATTTTTTATAAAATTGACTTATTTATTTATGTAATTTATCTATTAATTTTGTGCCACCTATATTTTATTGCTTTATTGTTTGATGCATTTAACGCATTATTTTTTTAATATAAACATATTTTAATATCTAATATATTCTTTATTATATTTTTGTATTTTTATTATTTTTCACTTGTTTAATATGTCTATTTTTAAACATTATCAATTTTTTTGTAACGTCTAATTATTGTGTCTTACTGCAATAGATAACGTTTATTTAAAATCCATCCATAAAATATTAAGATATTAGAATATATTCTAAATAAAAAATAAAATATTCAAATTGACAAAATATCGGATATTAAAAATGTTCATAAAAATTCGATATATCAAACTATGTTTATTATTCTTTATTAATGATGTCAACTATACTAAAATTAATTGGCTGTCGGTTCAAAAAAATGTCCATAATTGAAAGAGTCTAGAAATAGCATACCCGACCATAAGATATATAAGATAATAGACTTGAGTCAACATAGTCAACGGTTTTCTATGGTATCGATTTTGTAAGTTTGAGTTAAAATGACATATTTTTAAAATTTGAGAATAAATTTATAAACCGATAAGTTTAGAATTTTTATTATCATTTTATAAATTGAGAATTTTAATAAAATTTACCCTAAAAAATAGTTTTAAAAAATGTAAGGTCCACGAAAATCCAAAAAAAAATCAATAAGCGAACAATGTGCTTTATGATACCAGGGGCACTTTTTGTTAATAAGAACTTTTTATTTTAGTGATACATTTTTATATTAAAAACAATATTACAAATGAATTCCAAATATTAACAATTGAAAAAAGTAATAAGTGAAAAAATAGACAAAAATAAAATGTACAAAATAAACATCATTTTAGTTTTAAAATTCACGATATTTCAGACCTAGTGACAGTAGCCTTTTGCAATTTTTTTTATTTGTAAACCTTTTCAATCGATACCCAAACTTGGATAGTTCAATTTCTAAAACGGGGTGCAAATCATCTGTTCGTCTCGAATTCGAATCTCAAATTTGAAGAGAGTGTGTATAGTCCAAATCATATATATAGCTAACCCTCGATTTTTAAATTAGACTGGACTTTCGTACATGACACTCTTACAAAAAAAAAATGTTTACTAAAGATATGACTATATATAGCTATTAAGTGCATACACTTTTTAGTATATTTTTTGCCTTTGGATTTTTTTCAATATCTACTAATATAAAAAATATGTGATGTGTTGGTTTCATTAATTATCTTTCCTTCTATAGAAAAAACATAACCGTTTATTTTTCTAAATTCCCAATTCCTCCACGATTTCCATTTTTTCGTCTTTCTCGATTTTCAATTTCTTCTAAATACTCATATCAAAGCTAGGAAAATGAGGAAATATTGAAATAAAAAGGTTAAAGAAAGACAGAAAAAAGATTAGTCGGCAAAATAATTTTGATATCAAGCAATCTAAAAACAAAATCATTATTCCGTAAACTCTTTTTTTTTTTGGTATAAAATTATTCCGTAAACTTTATCATTACACCCTTTAAAAAGCTACCAAATTTAAAAAAAAAAAAGATTTAAACAATCCCTCTGACATTAGGGTTTCTCTAACATTAGGGTTTCCTGATCAATCCCGCGACTAACATTTTGACCGGTTGCTTTGGTCAAAGTGGTCGGCTTACGACACGTAAGTGTAACCGTATCCGAAAGTCAAAAGTCAAACTAGTTAGTGACGTGTCGAGATGCATGATGGATCCTCCATATCCTATCATGTCCCAACCGATGAAGAAAGCTTTCAAAATATACAAAAACAACCATCTAGGCCTTTCTTCTTTTTTCACTCGGAGTATCGGCTAATTTAAAAACCCCATTTGTTAGTTTCTTTTTCTTATTATTATTATGTTAGCCCACAAATGGAATGTACACATACATTTACAATGACAATAATATGTATCTCTAATAAATACCTCTTATCCAATAAGAAATGCCTCTTATCCAATATGAGATGGCTCAATTGGTGGATAGGACAAAACTCTTTTTCAACCCAAATTCAAGTATCTGAGGGAAATTCAACCATACTTCCCCATCGTTTAGGAGACGTAGAACTTCGAATTATAAGAAAAAAGAAATTGGGACTTTAGAGAAAGTTTTTATACTTTGGAAAAATCTAAGCATAACAAGACACTTTTAATACACGGATATATATTATATGCACCAAACATATGCATATATATATATATATACATAAGCCCTTTGTGTGTGTATTATACGTGGAAGATGAAAATATTACTAGATGTTCAAATGTCTCTAATTAGTTTAGCTACTCTTTCACTCTGCCTTTTTTGTGCGTACATCACTAAGTTACATACTCATCGCCTTCTTCACAACTATATTATGAATCTGTTATATGTTCTTGCCATTATATATGTTGTCTATATATATACACACACATACACAATACAACATGCCCTCTGCATAATGTGAAAGTGATATTGGCGCGGCTCAATCTGAGAGGGCATTTATGCAACGCGTTAAATCCGTCTTCGGATTGAACCTCACCAATATCGCTTTCTTTTTTTGGCCGGTCCAAGGCCTATATAGCCATCAAAATTGATTCCAGAAATTTAAAAAACAAAAACAAAAAGAGATATGTATATGAATGCACGAGTGAAAAAAAAAAGTCCCTTTTCGGCTCATCGTTTTAAGGGAAGGAATGGGTGAAAGAACATATAGTTGAATTGTACAAAGAAAAAGCATATGGCCCCATGAAATGCACGACTTAGCGAACGGATGACCAAACCCTAATGATCGCTTCTCTCTGTCTCCCTCTTAAATAGATATAGGAAAAGAAAATAGGCAGAGTTAAGGATAACAAACATTGTACTAATGTTTTATGCACGCGCACACATACATACATACATACACACACACACACATATATATATATATATATATATATATATATATATATATGTATGTATGTGTGATAATAAAAGAGAAGAATATCAAACCAGAAATTTGATCAAGAAACAAAGAAGATTTTATCTTCGTGCGTGTATAAACATGATATGGAAATCGAAAACTCACAAGATGAGATGACAGATCTAAAAAAACGTATAGCCAAGGGAATGAATGATGGAGACCGATCATGGACAACGAAGGGCGATAATATATAGGAGTCGACTACATATGCGTATATAGATGTGCATGTGCGTGTGTATGTATCCATATATATATATATATATATCGAACCATATGAAAGAAATGGAAGACGAAGCAGAAGTTTTTTGCTGGTCATGTGAGGATTATGAGCACCAAACCACCTTATATATATAAATAAACCCTCTTGAAGACATGAACCCATGAGAAGAGGGAGATGCACATGTATACACACATATATATACATATATATATATTTATGCAGAGAGAGTGTTTGAGGGTTTTCTTGGGATAGAGAAGAGGGAAGGGGTCGGCCCTCGGGGATGACAACCAAATGGTGCGAGGGGAATGATGTGCCCTCCTAACCCCTTTTCTCATGCTTTCCCTTTATATTTTATTTTTCAACTTTACTGTTTTTTAAATTCATTTCTACTTAACTATGTATAATTAATATAATCCCATGAATACATAAATCATTATATATGTATATATCTAATTTTTTTCTTTGAGTTATATAAATCTCCGTATCCTCCAAAGGCTAAAAGGACAAAAAGAAACGTAAAGAACGCCACCCATTTTATATATTTAGAAACCACCACCTTTTTTTTAATCATGCTTAGATTTATATTTTAGTTTAATTAATCTCTTTCTTGGAATGGCAACAAAAGAGAGATCATAGGAAATATAGAGTCCTAATTAATTTTTTTTTAAAATTTAAAGGTGAAGCGATAAATTTTTTTTTTTTGGCTTATTGCAGGTTCTCTAATGATCAATCCATTGATTTTAAAATGGTGTATATTAAAATAAAATAGTAGTATATTGTTGGATCGGATAAAATGTCTTGATTTGGTGGGTTTATGAGTTATGTTATGGCTATACACACCTCCCATATTAATTGCCAAACGGGAAAGTCACGGGTGCTAGGGGTGGGAAAATATCTGAACCCGAAATAACCGAATCGAATCCGATCGATATATATCCGAACCGAACTGATTAAAATAAAATATCCGATTAGATATGAATGTTTTAAACCCGAAATAACCGAACCGGAAATAACCGAATCCGAAATAACTGTTAAACCGAATCTGAATTAACCATAACCCAATATATTTGTTTATCCATCCATATATCATCAATTAATATGAAATATATTCTAAATCTAATTAGAATAATGATATTGTTTTATAACCATGATATATAAAAAACGAAAT